ACTGAGTGTACTCTCCGAGCGCTAAGAGGCACTTATGATTTATGCCTGTAAAAATCAATTGCATTTTATTGATCACCAAGATTAAGAAAAGCAAAAAAAAAAAAAGAAAAAGTTTGGTTAGACTTGGGGAGCAGCTACGTCGCTGGGTGTGATGTTCAACCTGCCCGGAATGCTGACGGCTTCCAGGAGGCAGGCACAGAGACCGGCAGCGTGTGCAGGGGTTTCACATGCAGAGCTCTGTGTTTTGTATGCTGCTATCAACAGAGGTAACTTTATTTTTGCACCCACTACATTTGTGTCAACTAAATCACAAAGTCAAAGCCAAGGTCACTTATAACAAGATGGCAGAAACTCCCCCAGCTGCATAGAAAGGGAAAAAAAAAAAAAAAAAAGAGAGAGATTTTGGCAGTTTTGGTTTGCATTTATAGTATTTAAGCACTTAGAAGCCTGATTCATAATTGGTGCCAGATGCTCTCAATACACATAGGAAAAGAGTTGTCTTTGTTCTGATAAATTCGCATTCTAAAAAAAGCTATAGACAGCCACGGGCTGGGGAAGCGAGCGGGACGGCACCCGCACTTGCTAAAGGTGGCGGTGTGAGATTCTGCCACTCGCTGGAAACAGCAGGACCCCGTGAGACAGTGGGATGGAGCCCAGGACCCCGGCCCTGTACTGGCTGCCCAGGGCCACAGGACCACGGGACGGGGGCTCAGGACCATCGTGGCGGGCTGCAGACACGCGTGGAGCCGCTGGAAGGGGAGGCAGGCGCCAGCCACGTCTGCCGGAGCAGCTTTCTGGGGCGCCGTGCATTCATTTTGCTCCGAGGCTGCTGCTTGCTTGTTAGTTGTTAATGTGGAAAGTTTAGTATCATACAAAAGACGTCTCAATGATCATCCCCCGTTATCTAAATTAAATCTTGCTGCTGTAAAATTCCGGGTTTCTCACACAATTTCTGCTCCTGAAAACTGCTTATGGCGGAGCAGAGTCCCACGAACAGTATGAACTACAAGGTCACAGCATTCAGCGAGTGAAAAAAAATCAGGAAAACGGGAGATTAAGTATTAATTTCAGGGCAACATTCCATTTATTTGAGATTACTCTATGCCGCACGTATGTAATACCATGTTTCAGTAATTAAAGCAGAGTGATTTATACAGCTGCAAGATGCCGAGGAGATGTTGTTGCTGGGCTGGGTGCAGTTGGCTACAGCAGCCCAAACTCAGTTGGAACCGTTTGTCCCAGGGAGATGATTTTTTGGCTCGCCCCAGTGTCCTGGCCAAATTCCAGCGCAGGCAGCCCCCCTGCCCAGCAAACTTCCAGCTGGCACAGCCACGGGCTGGGGCCAGCTCCCTGCTGCCCTGCTGGGTGCCACCACATCGCTGCAGCCCCTTTCTAGGGGCAGCTTCAGGTTTAGGTGGCTGTGACCCCAATGGCAGAGAGGCTGTTTGGTGGGTTAGGGAACCTAAACTTCATAATAAATACAAGTTGGCCTCTGCAAGGGAAATGGAGGGAATCAAAACCATCTGCTGCTGGTGGCCTCTGTAATATTTCCCGTTTTTATCATTATGTTTTTGTCTTTGGGGGCTCCTCCATACATACAGTACACCTTGACCTTGGCAATGAGGTGCTTTGGGCCGTGGTCTAACACCAGCCACATCTTCCAGACCTCAATATCACGAGCAGCTTGGATCGTGACATCCAAGACATTTCTGGGAAAAGACGAGTTATTTGGGGGGACTGAACGAAAGGGGCCGCTGGAACTTCATAACCCCAATCTACTTAATTCGTTCCCTATTTATCTTCATGTTTGTGACTGTGTGCAACGTTCCCTTCCCCATTTTTTATGGAGCTGTGCATCGTGTCACGATGAAGAATATTGTTTGTGAAAGGGAGTGTGGCAGTAACAGCACTGCTGGGCTGGGCGAGGGATCCTTGTAGGAACAGCTGTCGAATCCTGCAGGATCCGTGCCTGTACCAACAGCTGCTGCCGCACACCCTGCTGCACCTCACCGATGGGTGAAGCACCTCCCTGCTGTGCACCATGCCAAGTACAGGGGGGTACGACACGACAAGGGAATTTACAGAAATTACCAAGTACTGCAAGCATCCAAGGACTGTTAAAATTAGAACAAATTGCAAATAATATGTTCGTGTTGGCACTTTCTCTAAGTTCAGAGCAGTTAGTAACTTCTGTTTGCATAACATATTGGGCATTTTCCACTTTACCTTTCGCATATAAAATGCTTCTCAGTGCAGAATTTGATAGCACCACAGACATATTAGCCATTCAATTGGGTACAGTGAGTGCTGGTACTTACAGAGGGCTCACCAAAAGAGAACAGACACGCTGCCTGACGAGCAGAACACTGCTACCCAGCAGTGGGTGCATTATCCAATGGAAAAATGAATCATTCATTTAGAACCAAAGTGATAAGACATCATTTATTTAATCAAATGTGCCATCTACTGAACCAGGTACATCAACTAATGAACCCAGTGGATCCCCCAACGAGCGAGATGAATCACCTGCTGGAGATGTTTGCTGTGCGAGAGGGCCTGGTAGCTTTCCATTTCGATACAGGAACCCCAACCTCTTTTATCATCAAAGCTAAAAGTCCTACTAATGAATTTACACACTGCCTTATGAAAATACAACCCCATACTGGCTTCCCTTGCAGGTTGGATGCTTTCTTAGGCACGTAATTGTCTTAAATAGCACTTACTTTCAATGTTCTGCATAATTAGCTAGCAGTACTCTATTCTCTGAACATCTCTTCCAACTTAAACTGATGCAACCTGATATCAAATACCTTAGGTACAGGTTTTAGTTAAAAAAACCTAGTTTCTAAATGTGTCTGACTTGGTATAACAGCTATACACATGGGTAGATTATGTACAGTGATATTTTCCAATCTCCCTTTCATTTACTTAGCCGCTTCACACCTCAGCCTTTGAGTTGATTAGCATCACCTGCTGAAGTTAATTAAAGTATATAGGATGTAATAAGACTAATATGTTTGAGTTCTATCAATCACAGAACCCGGCGAGTCAATATTTGAAATGAGTACGGCGCAGAGGTGGAAATCCTGAACAGGGATCTGAAATGAAATGAGGAGAGGGGGGTGGCACCAGCACAGCAACGATGAGGGGGTCTCAGCGGTGACCAGGGCACGGCCTGGCCCAGCACCCCACAAACACGGCCCCGTGCTTGGAGCCATCCAAAAGCCTCGTGGGATGTTTTTAGGCTATCAAGGACAAGGCACAAAGCTGCAGCCAAGCCTGTAGCTGACAAGCCAGGGGAGCCTGGGGGATTTCAGCCTTTGCAATTACCTGCTAGGAGACACCTGGCCTGGTTCGGCAGCTGCCACCTCCCTGCCCTGGGCCGCAGCCTCCAGCGGCTCCGCACGGCGCTGCCTGGGTGCTCCCGCACCAGGACTCCACTCTTCTGAATTAAATGCAGTGTTTCTCTTCCCCTGCTCAGGTCCTAAACGTTCATTGCAAATTGATTGACCGTGAAAATGTGTAAGAAGGAGCAGCGAGACCGCACAGAGAGGACCAACGCTGGCACCGTCCCTTTTGATTCGTGCTCCACACACAGCTTCTCTGCATTTAGCATCGTTTCTCGTGCTGTCAGAAAGTGGCAGCCGAGCTGCAGCCTCCCCAGGCTGCCCTGAAGTACTCCTGGTCCTGGCTGGGCACCCTCCAAGGCCCCTGGCATGCTGATGGCAGTCCCCGAATGGAAAATGCTGTTTGGCTGTGCAAACGTGTGGCTGCCTTTGAGCACACCTGTACCCGCCGCCTTGTCTACACGCTGCCACAGTTGCAGATCTCTTTCGGCATAAAATATTTAAATACAATTTTATCAGCCCCTCACATCATTAGCTATGGAGATCCAGACTTAATGTACAGACAGGACACCGCGCATTAATATTTATCAAGCTGGATTTGTTTAAGGAAATACACTGAGCTGCTTGGAGCAGGCCACTTTTACAGGATCAAACTCTGAAAGACATTAATCACTGCCAGTGATGTGTGGAGTGTACACAGCCTATGGAGATGGAAGGACAAATAAATACAGGTTGTATGATGCTTTAAGGGCTGAGAAGGCTGCTGGCGAGGTGCTGGTGAGCATCAGGTGGCTGTGACCCCAGCAGACACCCACAGAGCCAGGGGCTCCCCGGCCAAGGAGCCGAATGCAGGCGGCCCCGGGGCCACCAGGAGGGTGACAGCGCTCGCCCCGTGCCCAGCAGGCTGGAGGAGGGCACAGTGACCCCAAGCAAACTGCGACCGACTGAGCAACACAGCTGGGGTGCTTCTGAGAGCGATTCGAGGGCTTTGTGCTGTAATAACTATAATCTGCCCAGGTGCCTGAGCGGCCTGCAAAGCAGAAAACGTCGCCGTAATCCCAGTGACCCATCAGCACCACGGCAATACCTTAAGGTGTTTCCAGTGACTTGCCACGAAGAAAAGAAGGGTGGGCTTGTGTGCACTGGTTAAAGAGCTGGGGCTTAAATCAGTGCAGAGGCAGTTGGCCCCTCCGCACCTGTGAGTTTGTGCCCATTATTTTTCTATCATGGGAAATAACCAAAAGATGGAAGGACAGCCTGCAACATCTCCGACAGTCACTGCTACTGTTTGTGGGTTTTTTTTTGTTTATTAGCTCTGTTTTTGCAAAGAAGACAGAGCCTGCCCCTGTACTAAAGGTGGATGCAAACCAAACCATCAGCATCAGGCACCTCTGAGCACCGAGCTGGTGCCTCTGCTTATGCAAGGCAGGAAATTTACTGAGCTCCCATTTGCAAATAAAGCTCTGTCCATCTGAATGCAGAATGCGCACTGAAATAATATGTTTGTTGTTTCCACAGCAATGCTGTAAGGGGTTAAGGGGGCATTAGAGACACTTTCATCCTTCCTTCAACATTTATCTTTTTATGGTGGTTTAAATGAGAGAGAGCTGTTCAGGAATAGAAAGGTTTCTAGATGTGTATGTGCACAGGGGAACTAAGGTTTGAAAAAGAAAAAAGTGTTAATAAAGCAATTTTAAAATTTAATCTGAGAGTTTATTTTCTCCTTTGCTGCCTTTTCTCTCCTGGGGATAGATCTGTGTTTTTTTTTCTTGCCTTGCAAAGGATTTAGTACTAAACCTTCTATTTTTCTGGAGACAGCAAGAGACAGTCAGAAGTGAGGAGAAGTGTTTAACAATTCAGAGGTCGAAGAACTGATGGCTGCTGACCTCCTTCTGTTCTGAGCCAGTGGCTTAGGAGAGAATACAAACAGAGGAGGGACCTCCGTGCTCCGATCCCAGCACTGCTTCGGGGTTCTGCTTCATTTGGATAAAACTCATTTTCACTCTCTGTTCGGCTTCTAACACTTCCTGAGCTCGTGGAAAGAAAGGGAAATGAAAACCCCAAGCAATGTGAGAAAGGAGCTCTGCGCACATGTTGGGGCTGACCCCGGAGGGAAGTTCTGCAAATCTTATCAAAACCCCGTGAAGGTGAGACTGGGCCTGATGGCCAGGCTCGGGTAAGGTGCTGATAAAGAGCTGAGCGCTTGGGTCAGCATCTCAGCCTTTAGAGGCTGGGCCTAAAACCTGAGCCCGCTGCAATGCCACCACTGCAAGTTTCTCCAGGTTTGGATTTAAGATGCAAAATGCTGACCTCACTGAAGATCAGGTGCAGTTAAGCATTCAGGTCACGACAGTAAACATCGGTAAGACAAATTCCACTAACGAAGCCAATGCAATTTGTCCGTGTAGGGGACAGAAACCTCCCATCCGAGCCATTTTTTTTCCTCTGGCTCCTTCAACATGAGACTGCGACAGCCCCTGCGCTGCAGTGATGCTGAGGCAGTTGTGGACCAGCTTTTTGGTGGTTGCAGCTCCCTTTAACTCCAACTTCTGTGTTTTCAGAACTGCTGTCAGACTGAAGCATGGTCCTAACGGGGAGCAACCTCATCTTACGGCTTTAGGGCACCCGCTCCTGCTGCCCTACACCTGGTCTGAAAATCAGCCTGAGAAAAATTGCCAGTGGTTGTACGCCATAACTCAGAAGTGACTAGATCCTGTATGCCTCCACTTCTCTTCAAACGTTTAAAGTGAAGGGTTAATTAATTAAATTAAATGAAGCTCCCACTGACAACAGCAATGGCTGTGAGTTCTCTGCATCTTTGGAAGTAAAACTTGGGGTGAAAGTAAATGAAAAGTTACTGTAACGCTTCGTGCGGGTTTGTTTGATTGTTTTTCTCCTCCTTGACATGTTTACTCAGTTTTGGGATGACGTTGACACAGAAGAGAGAACAGGGTGACACCACGGGAGCAGCTGCTTTGGCAGCCCTCCTCCAGCTGCTCCGTGCTGCGCAGCCTGCAGCGGGTGCAACATCTGGAGGCTCCGTGGGAGGGTTACGAAACACGAAACAGGCCTGGGACCAGCTCTGTTGTTGTGGGGTGTCCGGGTTGTTATGAAAACAGAACACACTTGGCCTTCATAGGAGAAAGCAGAAGCCAGAGGAGAGACACGGGGTTATGCAAAGTTAAACCAAGTGGTTGCGTGCTGACCTTGACCTCAAGGAGACCGGCTCCAGTTGGCAATCCTTAATGTGGTACGGGAAGTCTGCAGAAACCTTCTCAAGGACTAGGGCGACTTTGAGGTATGCATATTTTGCATAGAGGCAAAGTCTAACGCAGGAATGCCAGGATATGGAGTGAGGTCATCTAGCAAAACACCCTGGTAAAGTGCTGCCTAAACCCGTGTTAGAGCCAGGCTGTGAGAGAGGCCTTGCAAGTGGGGTTCTGAGTAGCGGGTAAACCATGAGCATGTTTCAGGAGTGTAAAATGACTCTCATTAACTCCTTAAATGAGGAAGAGTGTCTGGAGTTTCAATAATGTGCCCAGAGGAGCACTAAGAAGTAAGATTTAAGAAAACTTGAATCAATTCTGACTTTCATTTCAACTTGCATATGATCAGGAAGAAGGAACGCTTTGTGGCTGAGGTATGAAAAGGCATTAAAAAATCTGAAGTGCCCTAAAAATCCCATCTTTAAAGCGATGCTGTCTGAGGGAGGATGAAATCCATTTAGCTCCCACTGAGATGTGGGCTTTGTAAGGACCCGGTGCTTTTTTGAACCATGGGATTGAGGATAAGGTCCAGGCTGCTGAACACCCAACCCAGAGCAATCAGGGCTGCATTAACTGGACGCAAAGCGGTGCCCACAGGGGCTGACGGGAGCTTTGCTTGGCTCTGCCATGTGCCTTGCAGTACTTGCAGGGCAGTGGGTGTGGAGCCAGTGCAGAGCAGGTACGGCTGAAAGGAATTTACCTGAAGTCTTTATATCAGCTAGGACGGGACTGCCTCCTCTTAAAACTCTGCTTTGGTTCAAGCCGTGAGACGTGAGCTTGGTTCAAAAACCAACCAGCTGCAACCCTAGAGCCTGGGCTAGGCTTGAGAAGGCTAATTGATCGTAATGATCCCTTAAGAGGTGGAAATGCAGGAGTGGGTAACTATCAATCTGTTTCCTAATGGCAAGGTGTGCGTGCCATTAGAACGCCCTTTGTGCTAGCCACTTTCCTCTCTGTCTGAGTGGTTATGCTATACTAATCACTGCAGTAAATAAAAACCCTGGGTGATAATTTCCAGAACCTTGTAAAGGTGGTTAGGGAAAATGAGCACTTTGCTACCCACACTAGACTTTTTTTTCCTTTTTTTTTTTCTTGTTGAAGACTGGAGGTTTTTACAGAACTAGCTGCACTTTCTAAATTTTAAAGAAAGAGCCATATCCCTCCAGCTGTTGAGTTAAGTAGAATGTTATTCAAATTATGCAGGGGAAAAAATGTCATAACATAATGAGAATCAAATGTTGGCTTCAGGCGCCTTCATATTTGAGGACTTTAAAAAACAACAAAAGCAACAAAACAGTTCAATCTCTTATCTGCCTCTATAAAATGGCCATTTAAATAAACATTCACCACGCTGGGAAACATTGATGTCGTGGCAGCGATTTGTTTCTGACAGACAAGGCTGTTAAAGTCAAATTCTTTTTAATAGATGGCATTTTTGGAGAACAACTAGGTGTATTAAGGCCATAACTGCTCCCTCCCCGCTGGGGACGAGGCCACCGGAGCCTGGGAAGGGGCAGGGGCATCGGGTGCCTCCTTCGGCTGCTGCAGCTGGGGACAGTCGGTCCAAGCTTCCTTTGGCTGGCGTTTATACACAGGGGGCCAATCTCCAGACCTGTTTTCAGTCCTTTTTACAACGCAGAAAAGTGGAGAATCACCTCAGTGTTGTGACATGTTCCCCAGCCCTCTCCCATCCAGGTGCAGGAGCGCAGGAGCTGGGCACGGAGACACACGAGGGGCCCTCCTGGTCTGCACAGTGTGGTGGCTGGCAGGGGGACTGATACGGATTGAAGTCTTCTAGACAAAGAACAGTCAAGGTCTGTAAGCAGCCACACCAGGAAGGAAAGAGATTATTAATATCATTAATTTGATTTGCAGCAGCAGCTACTTGAAGTCTAACCACAGGCAGGGAAGCTCCTGAATCAGCTCTGTACGGAGCGGAATAAAAAGGGAGCCGGTAAGCAAACATCTTACTCAAACACAAGGACGGGCTTTCCGAGTGAACTGCTTCGAGGCCGCCGAGGTTTGAGTCTTACTAACAAGCCCCACTACGAAACCTCCAGCCACGACACACGCAGCTCTCTCCGAAACCGAGTGCTGAATTTAAGGGAATACGCAATGGGGGAAGAACAAAAGGATCCTTTGATGTGCTCAACCACATGATGTTTAGCGAAAAATGCAAATATTCTCTCATGCTAGAGAACACTTATCAATATTAAGGCATACACAGAGGAGAAGAAAGAAGGAAGAACAAAATACAACACTTAACAAGAGGGTAATTTAGCCTGTTGGCAAGCGCTTTAAGTCTGGTTCATGAAAAATTACTTGCACAATTGTTTTGCGGGGTTTATGGGCTTTTATGCATAAATCATAGTATTGATTCAGCGTGCGTATCAGACTTACTCAGGTGTACAACTGCATGTGGGCACAGTTAAAGCAAGAAAGGATTTCAGTGTGGAAATTGAAGAGGAGAAAAAACATCCCCCCTGTTGCTCCTACAAGCTCAGCTACAATTGTCAAACAGCTGGAACGCGCGCGGATTGTTAATTAAAACATGGTGGTGACCACCTTCTGCAGCGGTCTCAGGAGAACATCCAGGCAGGAGATAACTGCCAAGCTGAATCTTTTTCCCACCCTTTTTTTCCCCTTTAAGATTGCACTTTCTTTTCTGGCAGGGAAAAGAAAAAAGTAGGGAGCCCTGGAAGCCCAAGGATGGCCAACCGGAAGAGAAATAAAATCAGCTGCATGTTACAAACCACAACAACTACTGCAGCCAAGGCATGGAAAGGGAGGGAGGGAAATGTCAGGAACAACCTACAAGGGCTTGTTTGATGGTATTCACATTTGCTAGCCACGTTTCTGTCTCTTCAAATACAGGGAAGGGCTCCAGCACCACCACAGGTACAGGAGGCTGGTACAGAAGGGGGTCACCACGGATGCTGTGTTGGTCAGGAGAAATGAAAAAAGGCAAAGCCCTGGCAATGAAACTAGACACAAAGAATCCCTATCACCTGCACAGACATACAGTAATTTAATCGCTTTCTGTCCTGATTCATCCCTCAATATTTTCAGCATAAGCACATTATATTCAGCTTCCGATAACGTTCAGCAGGTCACAGCACACAGCCTGCTCAACTCTTTTCTTCCTCCCTTTCTCCAATAACACAGAGACGTAAAACAAAGGCCTAAAGAAGCTGCATGTGAACAACCCATAGGTAGCAAAACCCTAAAGTTTTACAGAGGCTTTGCTTCTGCCATGGAGCGACGTGGATAACAGAGCACTAACAACCTTCTCTAAGGAACACTCCTATTTCTAATTCGCATCCCACTCATCTTGCTGTTATTACTGGTGTGGTCACACCAAGGAGCGACGTTTGGGACCGTGGCACATCTCCCCCAGCACGGTGCTCAGATCCCTGCGTTGAACCCACAGCCAGCCAAGCCCGGCAGCCCGGGAGCTGCAGGTCACCACCGGCAGCCCGGTGGGACAAGGTCAGGTTTTATGCAAGGTTTAAGCCCATAATCAAGTTTTTGTTCTAAGTATGCCTCTCGCACGGTAATATTAATAAATATTAATTAAATGTTCAGGCTATCCTAATTTAATTTGATCAATTTGCTTCTCTCCTGTCTAAAAAAAATAAATGTGGGGTAGAGTAAGAGAGTTATTTGTGTTATTATCGTTATAAAAAATAACCATCTGTGCCAGTGTCTTAAATCAAATTAAATCTTTTCTTCTTGCTCCAAGGTTACAAAAGGATTAAGTTTTATGTGAACACCTAGCCACAGCCACTCCACTTCCCCAGTGGCTGGGAATTCAAGCTGCAGCGGCGCTGCCAAGCAGGCTTGATGGGGCAGCAGAGGATAAGAGGCTGAGATGGCATGTGATGCAGCGCCGATGCCAAATTTCCACCCTGCCTGTAATAAAAGTCTGCATTTATAGAGCACCTTTGATGAAAGGCTTCCTGAGTCATCCAGAAATATTAATTAATTGCCATCACCCCTGCAGCAGGTGAGTATCCCTGTCCTTGTTTGACAAACGGCTGCGCTGTGCTGCAGCAGGACGCGGCAGGAGGGTGGCAGCGGGCGCAGGGCGGCTGCTGCAGCCCCGTCCCCTGGCCCTGGCCGTGTCCCTTGGTCCCCTGGCCACGGTGCCTGCTCTGGGATGTCCTCAGCTGGGCCCGAGGGCAGGCGAGCTGCCTGAGGGGCAGGCAGCCACGAGGAGCCACAGTGTCCGACTTCAACACGTGCTGGACCTTAAAACCTACAGCACAGCCCCGTCCTGATCTGAGTACTGAGACCTCCTGTCCCCAGAGCACAAACCACGTGTCTTGAGGTAGGCATGTGCTAAGCGCTTCATGCAATTAAAACCATTCACGTGCTTTAATTAAGGCATGCGCCTAGCCTTGCTGTTTCCAGGCCTGCACAGACAAATGCATGTTCCTGTACGTGGATCCAGAATTAAAAACTGGGAAATGTCCCCAGGACTCCAGCTCCTTCCTCGCTGAAGCAGCTCTGTTCACTCTGCTCAGCATCTGCAGCTCTGGGCAGTCCAATATTAAGTTACTCAGGACCGACAGACCTTTCTCGATTTCCCCTGGGAGGCTCTGTCACGAGCCATTGGGCTTCAGCGTGAGAATTTTCCCCTTCATATTCAACATTTTTGTCCCCATTCCTATTGCATTCCCGGCTACCCACGCCTCTATCTCCTGGCAAAGAGCCCCTTCCCACCTGGGCTTTGCAGGATGGATGGAGTGGAGCAGGACATCGTCACCTGCTGGCACCTCGGCACCAGCCCTAACCGGAGATAATCAAATGGTGAGAGCCCCTCTGAAAAGAGAAGTAATTACACGGCATAGACTGCATGCATCTCTTAGGAGAAGAGGACTTGGATTTGATTATCTAGATTCTCCTTAATGCTTTATGATGAAGTTAAGGATGAATATTGCTTTGAAAGCAATTCAGATAGGACTTACCCTTAGAAGGAAAGGCCTTAACCATGAAACAAGTGGCCAAAGTCAGCCAGAAGCAACTGTCAGGAGAAGATTTCTGTTTATTTGTCCAAGATGTGATCAGAGAACAGTCCATTAGACAGTCCATTAACTCGGTCAAGCACATACACGCTTCCAAAATTAGCATGTGCTGAATCCATCGGGGAAATTAAAATTTGTGCTGAGATTTTGCTGGTCTCCAGGTGGACACGAGCTGCCTGCTGGAGACCCCTTCCACCGGCCGACCCTGCACCTCCCTTTGAAGCCGACTGCTGCCAGAAACCGTCCGGCCTTAGACACAGCCCGGCTCCTGTTAGAAAGGGATTTTCACACATTTATTTGATCCTGGTTTCAGCCCCCTGCGGAACGGCCTTGTGGTGCCAGGGTCCTGGTGCTGAGCAGCCCCCGGCGTGGGGAGGCTCGCTCAGCCCCGAGGCTGCTGCTAATGACACCCGCCGGAGCGTGGCCCTCCCCACCTCCCCGCTACAGCTTTGGCAGGCAGCTGGAAAGAACGAGGTATATTTGGATCCTGTTTAAATATTGATCACAGCGTATTTTTGCTAAAACCAAAGCCTATTGATTCGCCTGCGAGACTGCAGCCTCAATGCTCTGCCGCGTGTTTTCCTGGAGATGGGAGAAGGCTCCTTGAGTTATGATGTTAATAAGAGCGGCGCAGGAGGAACCCCTGATGTTCAAACCACAGCCTAGGAGGGAACATTTTTCATTGACGGAGGTCTCTGGACGCTCTGTGCTTTTTAATGTTTCCCCATCAGCCGTGCTGATGAGCCTTTAATAGAAAGGTTCTGGGAACGGGGAGCTGCAGCTCCCGCAGCTCTCCCACAGCCTCTTTCTGCCGTGATTTCGGGCTGAGGGCAGCCAGACATCTGACAGGATCCAGGGGGGTCTCCTGGTCCACGGGTCTTGCATGTTCCCCCTGCAGCATGCTGCTTAAGCAGGTAATTAGCTCACTGTGTGGATTTTTGTCTTGGGCACCATCAGGTTGATGCTCACTGCCCAGAAGCTGAGCAAATGCTGCGGGGTTTGGGGGTTTGGGGCAGGTGCGGGGCTGGGGTGCCCACAGCTCAGGGGGGTGCCTGGTGCCAGTGGGCATCCCTTCTAGGTCACTACGGACATAAAGAGGGGGAAAAAGATAAAAGCAAACCCATAGGGTTTATTTGTACACACGTACACACCGTTTTGTTAGCCACTGGCGATAAATACAGAATAAATCGCTTATCCTGATGCGGCTGCTCAGCCTGACCTGAGAACACTGCAGGGTTTTCTGATATCCAAAGCACATCAGGCAGCAGTGCGATGGCTCAGGCCACCTCCCCTTCTGATGGGACGCGTTATCGTGCTATCAGGAGTGTCAACACACAACGCTTCAGAGAAGAACAAGTCACCCCCTCCGTACCCCCCGCTCCTGTACTTGCCTGGTGCAGCTCTCTGCGAGGGGGAGGATAAATCCTTCCCGTCCCGTGCAGCGCTCAGGCTACCACGAAGCCTGAGACTTGGTTAATCTGATTATTTAGGGGACAAATCTCTCCTGCACATCTGTGGCTGAAGAAGGTTCTCAAGGGAAAAGCCAAATTAAATTATGCCCTCCACAGTGCTGTATGTGGGAGAGCAATCCTGCAGCTACCACGCGAGAGTGGCAGCCTTAGGTTTCAGTCGTATCTGACATTGATTCACTTTTCTTATTGCAAAGCACTTAAATTCTCCATTTCTCATTTCCCAATCTCCAGCACAGGAATATAATCCTCTGCCTCTCTTGGAACCCTGGGATTGTGCCCCGTAAAGGAGTGCATGCCCTCGGGTGAATGAAACCATTTCAGACTGAAGTATTTTTACTGGGTATTTGAAGAGATCCCTCTCAGAAATATCAGCGATTTGTGACACTTTCTGTATTTGTGATACAGCATTTCCTTGCCCCATTTGAAGGAGAGACTAAATTGCAAGGACAATCACATCCACTTCTGTTACCAATCCTAGCAGAAGATATTAGTTTTTGAAGGGAGAAATAGAGCCAAGGTTTCTCCTTTTTCATCAAACCCTATTTGTTTTGTTTCTCTTCCTAAAATAACCTGGGGCCATTTAATAGAACTGAAATCTCTGATAATTTTTTAGAAATTGTTGCCAGGCTGCAGAGTAGGTGTTTATGCAGAGTTTTGTGCTTCACCAGCTACCGCTTCTTCAGGATAGGAATAAGTTTTGCTTTGTTTTATTTCATTTCTAAGAGCTCAAAATAATCACAAGTCCAAAAAGTTCAAATCATTGTCAACACAGTTGTTCACACAAGAAAGAAAGATAAAATAAAAGAAAGGAAGGAAGAAAGGAAAGAAAAATGAGCATCATTGGCCACAGTCGCAAACATCTTCTATCCCTTGCTCATTTGTCTCAAGTTTTTCAGCAAGAACTTTTTTGGGAACAGGCTGTCTTAAATGAATTTTTAAAACTATCAAAAAACAGGTTTTAAATTAGCTGCGCCACATCATTGTCAGGCATGTTTTCAGCAATCAGCCCGCAGAGCTAGACCACGCAGTCTCTGTGCCCAGCTAACTGCACGCTGCGGGCACCGAGCGCTTCCACCACCCGCACTGCCAGGGGCAGCTGCTGCTGGCTCCCTGCTCGCCTGCATGCCAGGAGCCCTCCAGCTTGCAAAGAGAAAGGCAGGGCTCAAAACGGAACTATTCCCTTGTTCCTGTCCCGGAGTTTGACATGGGACTTGTTTTCTAAAGGGATGTGTTATTAAATCCTGCTGTGCTGGGTCAGGCTGTTGGAATTGTGCTGTTACATCTGACAGCACCCCAAAACAAGTGGCTATGGAAGAGCAGGGCACGCTGTTAACTTATTACATCCATCCACCTTCTGATTTAGAGATTTGTCCATCCAGAAATTGCAGCCAGACCGCTCTGTTCCTAACTGCTCTTGACCTCCCCGGGAATTTGTCCCTCTCTGTTCCGAGCTCCCTCGCCCCCAGCACCGGCTGTGGCACGGCACTGATGGCAGCTCAGCCCCACACGTGTAATTCTGGGTTGTGAGACAAACGACTGCTTCTTCCCTGCTTCGAATCTGCTGGCTGAGAATTTCCCTGGGCACTCTCTTGCTCTTGCAGTGAAAGAAATATAAAAATGAAAACAGCTCCTGTTGCTCTCCCAGAGACAGCCTGGTGCCATCGCGAGGGGTGGTGCCGAGGACGTATTTACAGCTCTGTCTTGTAAAGTTTGCTAGGTTTCATGCTTTATGAAATATATTCAGCCATACTTGTGATTATACTCCAATATGTTTCCAACATATCGTGAAACTGCAGCTAGTGTCAGAACAGGCGGATTTTTAACATATCTTAAACAAATTTCTCCCTTCATTAAAGTAGAATAATTGTCACAGCATAATGTAACTTAATGGTGAAATGGCACACACAGGCTTGTCTCCTGTACCATGGTAATTACGTTTTAAATCTATGGTCTGTGTTAAGTCTGTTTTTCAACATATGCAAAGCGATTTCAAGAGTTACTTAAAATGTTTTTTCCCAGGAGAGCAGAGGGACTGTGCGCTTTGCTGGGGAATGCTGGGCACACGGAGCTGCCCATCCTCGCTCCCAGCAGCAGCAATTCAGGAGCTGGCGAGGTTCTGGCACCAGCAGGTGAATGCCTTGGACTAAACGACATCTGGGAAGGGTGTATTTAGCTTTCTGTAAGTGATGCCATGCAAGAAGCCTCATTTGAGAGTTGAGAGCAGAGAAGCAGCGTAAAAGCAGTCTGGAGAGCACACTTGGAAACAAAATTTTCCATAATTAGACCACAAAGTGGAAAGTCCTCTTAGCACTGCATTACTGAGCACCTGAAAGGAGAGCATGAAACATTTCTCAAGGGGCCACCAAACCTGGAGAAGCAAATCACTAAGGCCAGAGAAAATGAGATTAAATTGAACTTCTAAGATGCAGTGTGTCTACTGACCTCCCTCATACCAAGTGCTTTCTTCATGCTCCTGTTCTTAAAACAGGGAAAAAAAGAATCCAGGAGAACGCATGCTGTTCAGTGGATAGCTGGGGGCTGAGTTGGATTTGAATTTTGATCAAAGTTTTTCTCATTTGACATGCTTTTCTGTGTCTGCAGTCCCAATCTGCCTTTTTCGTTTAAAATAATGCGTCCCATATAAGAAAACTTAGCCACCATACCTAATAGGAAACCCTGGGCTCATGAAAGGTAGTTTCTGCTATCTCATGGTCCTTCTACAGAATCCAGCTGATGGGGAAGGGAAAACGAAGGGGCCTCTGCCTCTTTCCCATGCAGCAGCACCAGCAAGAGTGGGCAGCCTGTGGGGTGCCCTGCAATAACACAACCCTAACACCCAACTGCTGCCCATGTAAGAAAGAAGCCAACTGCACAATTTCCTCATTTGTTTCCCTCCATTGAATTCAAAGAGCAGCCTCCAGTCTTCCTCCTCCTCTTCTTTTGGGAACACAAAGAGGAGATGGACAAACCCCAGCACACGATGGCGGGGGCAGAGCCGCCAGCTGGGGAGGGCCCTGTCCTGCTCCCGTCCACGAGATCAGCATTCGTGCCATGTCAGATCTGCAAACTGCTTGTTTGCTTTGAGGAAACACACAATATGGTCCAGACTGCTGATGCAATTGTTTTATCAAGCATCTCCCCTGTGGCCTGTGCCTTAGCACATCATCCTCATTGCACCAAAAGCAGCAGCAGAGCAACCCACCAGTTGTGCTAGCCAAAACCAGGGGCAATATCAAAGAAAAGCATCCAGAATCGAGAGAAAGAAATGGAAAATGCACCCAGCTGGCTTGCTTTGTGCAGGTTTTGGTTCTGCCGTGCCGTGGCTCAGCCTCGTGCCCCTCCGTGCGCTGCCTCCAGTGCTTGGCTGAGTCCAGCCCCAGGGGCAGCAGCAGGTGTGTCTGGCACATCAGATTCGGGCTTTCCCACTCAGGTTGCTCCCATCTTATCATAGAAAAGAGCTGTGAGACAAGCCCAAAGTCCTCTGCACAAAAAAAAAAAAAAATCATATAATGCTGCTCCCACCCCCACTGCAAAGCCACTGCAATATTTTGAAACATGGATTATCTCCAGCTTCTGCTCCTCTTGATGGTTCCACCTCGTTCGTCTTGCGACTCTAATTTCCTTCAATGCGTGTTTTCTTTACAGGCTACTAAGTACAGAAAACTTGAAGCAATCAGCTGAAGTTTATGCATCGACATATCACTTTGTTCGCTGTGAATTCATTTCCAAGGGGGCGGTGAACTTTAATGAAGTTGCAGACTGAATCACGCCGGTGTGCTCCGGCACAGGCAGGAGCCTGGAAGAGGCCTGCCCTCAGAAGGCTCCCCGACCAATTCAAACCTCAAACGCTCAGTCAGGCATTCGTGTTTCTTTAGGGTACCCCTCCTTGATCTGAAATCCTTATTTCTCCGGATCTGCTCCATAATAAATGCTGCTGAATTTTCCAAATCCCAACTATTTTTTGCAGTGACCACCTCGGTGCCATGGGAGGCGCTGGGGACAGAGGGGAGCAGAGGAGCAGCAGCAAAGCCGAGCTCTGCAGCCGTGCCCCCAGCTGCAGCCTCCCTGAGCCCGGGTCCCCCCTCCCACGTCACATTTTGCTGTGGTCTTTTCTTGGCCAAGTTCTCCTTTGCAAAAGCAGCACCAGACCGGCCCTGCTGTGCCACCTAATTAGAAATCTCTGCTGAGCACTTTGTGTGTGTGCCCGTGCACGCGTGCACATTTTTTTTTTCCCTCTTTCTGAGATGTGAGTGACATTGCAAATGCAACTTTCATCTCGGAGACTCGGAGTGTTGCCATAGAAATTGCAGCGGGGGAGCCACCAGGTCGTTAGCTCGTGCCCTAAGGATTGCAGCGCTCAGCGGGGGCTGCTCCCTGCTCCCATCCCTGCTGCGCCCTGGCACCGGGCTGAGCTCCAAACCCAGGCAAGGAAGGAAGCGCCCTGCTCCCTGGGATCGATTTCTAAGCACACGCGTGTGTGTGACCACACTCACCGGCAGGAATTACAGTAGCTGTTGGAACAGGCAGCCATGGGCCTGCTCAGGAAAAGCGAAGCTAAAGAGCTAAATGAGTGTTTCGGATAATGATAATAATAATAATCAGCATCGCTTTTATTGCAGGCTCTCCTCAGACACTGTGCTGCTGCATACTCACGAGGAATTGGTGCTCGGGGGGCCAGGTGAGCGGCGTCGGTCCCGTGGTGCAGGAGAGATGTGAACGGTGTGAGGGGAACCCAAAACCCTGCGGAGGGACAGGACCACGGCACCCCTGGGTGCCCCACGGACAGCCTGGGTCAGGTGCACCACAAAATGGTGCTTGCTGAAGGAGTTCGGCTCACGGACGGCACCCTCCTCGCCTCTCCTCTGACAGATTTCTCTTCCAAACAACTTCATTTCTTCGCGGATTTGTTTATTCTGAAAGGTCAGGGCACTACATTGTACCCTGCATTATCTCCTCCCTGCTTCCCCGCGGCCCCAGCCCCGCAGTAATCACGCCTTCAGCACCTTTCTGCCAGGCTTTGACACTCCCCAATCCAGCTGAGACTTCTCAGGACTTTAATTAATGAGATAACAAAAGGGAAAACACCCAAAGAGTGAACCCCCGAGTTGAAGACTTTATCTGCTCTTTGCAGCTGTATCTTTTTTCTTTTTTTTCTTTTTTTTTTTCTTTTTTTTTTTTTTTTTCTTTTTGAGCTGCATTCCAGGTCCGTCAATACCGTTTCCCATTAAATTAAATAGCTTATTGACTGGTGTGAGACGTAGCCACGAGGCCGATAGGATCCGCGCGCGGTGCTTTCCCAGTGCAAACAATCACAGGTCACTGCACAGTAAATCAGTCGGTAATGGAGTTTGAACTCTGAGAATCAGTTCTGTGTACCCTTTTTATTTGTTTTTAATTTGTATCAATGGTAATTCTGTCGGTTTCAATTTATGTGACGGCAGCAGGTTGTGGAGCAGCGGAAACACCATTTTTCTTCTTGTTAACCATTGAGCTCGCAGCACCGTGGCAGCCAAGCGTCTCCGAGCTCCCAAGTGTTAAGGTTTCTTGGTACCAGCAGAACCCTGTGTTATGTTATTTTCCTCTCTCTTTCTTTTCCATCAGAGCCGTCTGAAGATGCCCCTTCCTGCTTCCAGCTCTCAACCATTTAGGACCTTCCACGCGGATTTGCGAGCTGAGCAGTCATTCGTGACTCCCTGCATTTACCTCATCCCTTTTTGAACCCGTTTAACACAGCCAGCAGCTGGGACACCTGGTGGCATCGAGCACTGCAATTTAATTATGAATTATATTAAAAAATGACTTCCTTCTGTTGCTTAAAACTTGCTGACAGCTAATTTTGGCAGGTGTCTGCTAATATTTACTTTGTGTAAATTAATGAATAATCATTCCTGACACTTTTTTTTTTACCCTTATAAATCCCCTCTGCTCCAAGGTACGGGTCCTGGTCCAGCACCCCGCTCCGAAGCATCCTGCCCAGGACATAAAACCAGCCTGCTGCTGGCCTTTGTGCCTTGTCTGCTTCTGTGCTGTCCTTTTTCTGCTGGAAGACACGAGCTGTCACCACGAGCATGCCAAGTATTTATAAAGGTGCATAAGGTTTCTTCTGTTTGTTTCATTTTCCATTTCCTCCTCAATAATTCATTTAGTCCTGCTCACCTTTTGGCCTTTGCTGGGGCTTCAGTTTAGCATTTCAGAGAGCGATCCACAAACACTTCACTCGCAATTTTCTGAGCACAAACACTTGGAGCAGTGTCCATGGTGCTCACTGCCTGTGCACGGTTCGGGCTGTGTTCCCCGGGGTGTTACTTGGCACTTGCAATCAGCGGCCACGACTGCCTGCTTTTGCCTCAGACCCTCAGGATTCCCGGGTCCTCCAGGAGCCCCCCGTGGTACCTCCAGGCCCCAACCCTGCAGCTCAACCTCTCCTGCTGCTCCAGGGCACCTTCCTCTGCTTTCATTGTTGTGCCTTGCCGTGCCTCAAGCCAGCCCCCAGCACCGAGCACTCACCCATTCCCATTTTGCTCCCTGCCACGTGCACTTCTCCGCTGTCTCTCCAGGGGCTGCAGCTCTGCAGCAAGGGTTCTGCACGGTGCAGCTCTGTTTGTACCGATGTGGTAGTCACACTGCTTTGCTTCCTGCTTGGTCTCTAAAGTTTTTCAACAAAACGAAGCAAATTGCTCACGTACCCAGCTTATGAAGGGCTTTAGTGCTTCGTGGACTCACCGAAGTGACAATAAGAGGTGACTGGCACCTCAGGTGGTTAAAGCAGCGCACTAGGACAACGTTATCACTACAAACTACATCATAGACACCAGGGAATGTCTCGTGATGTTCCTACAAACACGGAGCCTGTCCGCAGTGCCTGGGCTGTGTGCTGAAGCTGCTGCCAGGACGAGAGGCACCGCTCTGCACGGGCACAACGTGCCTGGCTTTACAGAGGGGGCGTGCAGAACACGTCTGTTTGCAAAGTCACACACACACACGTTTCTCCTCCACAATATTTTGGGAATCTACACAGACGTGTTAGGAAAACTGTCACTTGCATAAACTTCTTTGCAGCCAGAGTGTGATTTTTTTTTTCAGAGCTACTAATCAAAGGCTAGAGTGGAATCAGCTCGACAAAAAAATATAAATAAATAAATTCAAAGATCACGGACTTATAAAATGCACCAAGGAATTACAGGAATGAGACTTAAGAGAGGTGCAATGAGGAATGAGCCAAGGTGAGCCACTAACGAGCAAGGTGAACAGCCCTGCTAGAGGTAACGGTGCCGAGGACCACGGCACGCACCCGCAAAGGGAGGGCGCAGGCAGGGGGAGCAGGACACAGAGACTTCACCCAGCCGTGGCCTCGGGGAGCAGCAGCAGGAGTCACCAGGCTCACGGTTAACTGTGCTGGCAAGGAACAGAGTGGGAGGAGATGTGAGCCGCTATCGAGTGTCTGCGGGCTGCACGGGGTACCACGGGTATCGGTGCCACCTAAAGCTCGGTGCCTATTAAATGATTTCCTACAGGGACGGGCTCGAGGCTGCACCGCAGTGCCCAGAGGTGGCAAGCACTTCTCTCTCTTGACTTCTCTTTCCTTCTTTGCCACCCACTAAGAGCTGTGGGCTCAAGGGCTACGGATTCAGGTGATGCCCCCGGTGCCAGCCTCCCCTCCGCTGCCAGGTGCTGTCGGACAACAATTAAGAAACACCTTTTAATTACATGTGAACCACGCAGGATTTACTCAACTCAATCTAAATTAGAGATTTTCTTTGGGCATGCAAGCCTCTCCAAACAGACCAAGGAAGATAATAGATTTTGTGATCTCTTCTATCACACGGCAAACAATCCTGGCTCACAAAACTATAAATCAGAGGCTAATGGATTTTCAGTGATGCGCTTTGGCCCTTTGCACATCTTTTAATTTGCTTTTAATATGTATCGATCTCCCCCCTTTTTGCTCCAATCCTTCCCGTGTCAGCAGGTCAGAGGAGGTGCCAAGCGGGGAACATCCTCACAGCAATACAAAGCCAGGAAAAGAGGTGTGCAGCTCCCTGTGCATGGGCTCCACCACCTGCCTGCACCGAGGTGGCCGGGCTCGCCTGGCAGACCCCACGGTGACGGGTTGGGGCCGTGCCAGCACCGAGCTGTGCCATCTGGGGACCTGTCACTCGGCACACGCTGATTTCCCTGGGCTGCAAACCACCAGCCCTCCGCCCAGGCGGGGCTTTCACCTGCCAGAGAAGGACAAGCAAGTTTCTAGCTTGTACCAGAGATCCTAGGAATTGTAAGAAAAAGAGGCGCTTGCTGGGCAGCGGCACGTTGCCTCGTGCTGCAGGGAGAGGACAGCTCTGCTACCCGCAGGACGGTTTCCTGCTCTCCTCACGTTCAGTCCTGAAGAATAAATCTGAGATGGGAAACGACTGATTGAATATCCATGATAAACCATTTACAGCTCAGTCCTAGCCGTGCAAAGTGCCGTCAAACAGTCCTGGATAAGAAGTGTGTTAATAAAAATCATGATCCGCACACAAACAGAAAGGGGCTAAATTCTTCAAATAAATGGCTCACAACAAATAATTTGACCGGCTCTCATGATCGGCTTACGCTCTGAAGCATTAAGATTATCAGCTCCATGTAATTTTCTCCTAGCTGATGTAGCTGCAAAGACTATTCATATTCATATAAATGTCTAATGTCTAATCCTCTAATCTAATCCTTTTTTTTTCTGCTTGTGCTAAAGCTCCACAGCCAATACTCAAAAGCCCTCTGAGCAATGGAATTATTGATAAATTACTGCAGGAAGGAGGAGCACAGCACGTATCCCAAACCCACCAAGCTCTGCCTCTTCTCGAAGAGTTTTTATTTTCCTGTTAAAAAGTCGATGTGTGGATTTGCAGGACGATTGCAGGTATTTTTCCTCGCTGATATTTCCACGTCCTTCCCTCGTGTCAGAGGACAGCGATCATCTTTCACTCTGGCTTTCAGAGCTCTTCAGCAGCAGTATCACTTCTTCACTGTGTCAATTAAGCTTCACTGCTGCAAGTAACAGAGGAGGTCGTTTGCTCTGTTATTTATTCTCCCAAAGGCATTGGGCACCTCTGGACCCTGAACTCAGCACAAACGTGGTGTTGTGAGCATCAGGAAGGATGCGTGCCCTTCGTCACTGGGGCGTGGGCACACACAGCCAAGTCCTTCTGAGCTAAGCGTGGTGCAAATGCAGTCAGACAGCTTGGGTCTTGCAGATGTCACAAGCTAAAAGGAGGAGAGAGCATTCGGCGCTCAGGTGCATTTGCCAGACTTAAATAATGCAGCAGAAACCTGGGGAAGTTTCCCAGAGCCAAGCCCAGCACTGCCTGCAGGCAGAGGCTTGGGGGGGAACAGTCCTGGGTGAGAGACAGCAAAGGACCTGCTCCGACTGGCCAAGTTATAATGGCAATGGGTAAAACACACCTGGGCTGTACCTGCATAAAGCACAGGGTAGCTTCTGAGAGCATTTCCTTCTCTTTCTGTCACAATTTAGGTGTGACGATTTGTACATTTTACTTCCAGTGCTACCAGGATGACATCTTCCTGCTTCGCTGCTACTGGTCCTGACTACATCCACGGCAATCTGAAATTTATGTTACTGGAATTAACTCCTGACCTTCACTCAATGCACTGCCTGCAAAGTCTCCTTAGCACAACGCAGCCTTCATTTTGGAAGCGGAGCATGGGAAAACTTCCTGCAGGTAAAGTCACAAACAAAACCTGCACACTGAGGTCCTGGCAAGAAACGAGGCCAGTTGCAAAGCTCCAGCCGAAAGGGATAAATACGGCAAAAAGACAGACTGGGAGATAAGATAGCGAGCTGTATAAGCGTGGTTCCTGTGCCCAAGCTTATTCAGGCTGCAGTCTCTCCGCTGCTGTGTGTGCAGCAGTGCATTTATTTCTGTATATTTCGTGTGGGCATGCCCTGGGGTAGGAGCTGTACAACACACGGGAATTACAGACCCAGACAGTCTGTGGCCTCTGAGCACTTCGCTAAGAAAAGTTATAATCCTGGAACTGTTTTTCACTCAGAATCAGGCTGAAACTCATCCATCCATTATCTCACTTAGACCAACAAATAAGCATCAAACGGGACCTTCTTGCAAATCGCTGTGGACTTGGACCAATTTTGAAACACTGCCCTACAGCAGAAAGACTTAGTATCCTATTATTAGTCCCCCGAGGCCAGCCAGCTTCTCCATTAACTTTTAGCTCAAACTAATAGCACATTCATAAGCAATTTTGTGGGTGACTGTATCTGAGGCTTTAAGCTGCTATATATTTTTTTTTTCCCTTAGAAATTATCTTTTTGCGTGATGATATGGAATTATTTAGATGACAACTCACATTAAAAGACCCTGTGCTCTTATAGGCAAAGACTTTTTTTTTTTCCAGACAACACTGTTATAAAATTGTTTGAAATCTACTGACTTCAAGGGACAGAGTTTTGCCCTGATTAAAAAGAAAGACTTTTTCATTTGAATACTGCCCTTTTTAATAGCTTCACCAGGCATTCCCACCTCAATAGGTTTTTAGCTGTGTTGTCAGAGGAAGCCGTTCTGTATTATAATTCTTCCACATGCTTTTTGCAGATACCGAATGTTTTGCAAATACAAATCATCTTTAAAAAACGCTTCTTTCTGTCCTTGTTGTATGCACATCTTTACTTCTGTTTAAGCTTGGCTATGGACAGACAGATGACAGCTCTGCGTGTTTCTGGAGCTCTTTTCCCTCAGTTACATCTGTTGCACTCAATAAAGCAAAATAGTTTTTGTATTTGTTTGTGTGTGAGTGATAACATATGCATATGTTCTCCAGAAATGCATACAATGCCTGAGTCAGCCATAGGTAGGAAATGTGCTTGGAGAGGTTCATTGTGAGAAGTTCCCTCATTAATCCAGGGAAGAAGCGCGGCACAGACATAGACACACTGCCCTGTCCTCCCATTTCACACAACAAATACACTGATTTGCCTATGTGCTGCTTCTGCTCCACAAACACAGCTAACGCTGTCATTTGTATTCCACTTGTTCGTTTTCTGGGGAGTTTTTTGAGGGACTGCAGGATTCAGAGGCAGCAGTGAGCAGGGACGGAGCCTTTCCATGGGAGGTCACCGGTTCGCAGCCCAGGTCTCAGCTGTGCAGAGGGAAGGTTTTACCATCAGTGCCTGCCCAGGGTCTTGCAGGAATGATTTGGCATTTCTGATTTCAGGTCCACGCAAGTGTCTCTGCAATTGTCTTTTAGCAGGCCCTCGTTACCAAATGCAGCAACAGGCCTCGAGGCTGAGTCCCAGTCCAGGAGAGCAGTCGGACACAAGCTTCAACTTCATGAGCTTACATCCTAAGCTCACCAGAAGTTAATCATATCTTCAGCTGACCCAGGGTAGTGGGTTTATAAATAGTAAATTACTTCTGGACAAAGTAACAGTGCTGAGCCTCCGTCCTCCCCACAGCGATGCGCACCCTTGCTCAGACGAGAGGGCCGGGCAGAGCCGCACGGAGGGGCAGCACCGACTGATGTGGTGACTTGGTGCTTGCAGGTGGAAGAGAGAGGCCTTCTCCCCCCAAAACATGAATGTTTCACCCTTCGGAACCAAGTGCTATAATCCCTGACTATGCGCAAAGGAGCTTTTCCTAGCTGAACTAAGAGTATTTCAGTGTCTCAGCAGCGGGTTAATGCAGCTTCTGTGGCTTAGACGGCAGAGAGGGCCGGGCAGATCGGGTTAGGATGTTCTTTCCCTTTTGAGTGAAGCTTTCATTCCACAGAGGTCACACATAAAATTAAGTTCAGGTCTGAAAATGTTTTTTTTTTTCCCTTTGCATGTCCAAGCCCCGCAGTCTGGTGCCACCCAGCCGCAGCACACATCGATGGGGCTGCTGCCGCCCAGCAGCTGATGCGGGGGCAGCCCCCTTCCATGCCCCCTCTTCCCTCAGCCTTTAAAGCACTTGCAGATCTAAAAGTTACAGACTTGCTTTTGCTCTCTTTTTCATTAAGAGGAAGGTGTGTGCTGCCCGGATAACCTCTCCAGCATGGCGTTATTGGCCACCCGTCCCCTGCTGATGGGCTTGTTGGCCCGTACCCATGAGGGCGAGCCTTCACGGTGTAGCCATCCTAAGCATCTTATCAAACCCGAGCCAAGACGAGGATAACAACCTGAGACCTGATTAATGACCAAAATCCACATGTGAGTGGCCTCGCT